CATTTGGGTAGTAGTTGGGAAGCTAATTATTTAGTTTTCAAACTAAATATTCTGAATAAATATTTAATTCTCTCCCAAATAAGTATTTAATTTTGAGCTTGTCCATACATTTCAAACAGAGGTGTCAAAAGTCTGAAAAGTCACTTTCTCTCCTGAACTAGACGTACAGATGCTAGTATGAAAAATCATTTTATTAAAAGTACAGGTTGTACTGTCTTATTCCAGTAAAAGTACTAAAGAACACATTTTGATATGTATTTAATTAAATAGGTTTAATCTCCCCCACTTTCTGAGGGACTGCAAAACAATTTGTTGGTGCCTGCCTCACCAGATACACCATACTGGACTCAACCAGTATGACCCTCAGATATAAATTGGCTGTAATCATCCCAGGATGCAGAGCTGCTGTCGACAGAAAAATGGATCTGACTGGTTTCACTGAAGGCCGAGCGTCTTTGTTTCACAGCTGAAGTGAATAACGATCAGCAAAGCGCTAAATCCTGACCAGGAAATAAAGTTTAGTTAGTTCAAAAACATCAGAACGACAGGAAGTTCAAGATTTGTATTGAAACTAAAACCAAACTGAACATTTAATTAAGATCTGCTGACTTATATTTATGTAAACAAATTACAAATAAAGAAAATATATTTCTGAAGGATTGATTGTCCTTTTTTTAATCAGAAGTTTATGGATAAACTTATGCTAACCATAAACCTAACTTTGTGGGTCAAACGACCCAGAATATATGTAAAGAGTTTTAATAAATTACAGAGGATGAGGAACCTGAGGAACAATGTTTCCTGTCATCAGCCTCCAAGCCCAGATTGGATCATCTGTCAGAAGAACAACTCAGAGGTCAGGACTCTGTCCATTTCCTGTCTGAAATAAACTAACAGCAAAATCTGAAGAAATATACAATGAACTGTTTAACTGGTTTCACTGGTTTTCACTTTAACACCTTGTTTTCTTTTATTTACAAGCTTGTTGTCAGCAGATCATCTGTAGCAGAGACAGAAAATGTTCACCACCGGTAAATTAAACTCATTTGTGTACTTTTTCAAAATATATTTTTTTAAAAATTTGAAGGGTACTCATCTGAGAATATGATCAGTTACTCAATAATTCAGTAGACTTTTAACCAAATACTATTTTACTTTTGGTTAGTCTGATCCTGGTTCTAATTGCTCTTTTTTGAACTTTGATTAGTGACTGTTGGGCTGTTTTGTTATTAATTACCCAAATTTCTCTGGAGTCACTTAAATAAGGTAAAACTGAAGAACATGCAGAAGTTGGGCTGTTTCTGTGAACAGAAAGGTGTTTGGTACTGAAACTATGACAGACCCACTTCATGAACTGTGAACTGAAAGAGTAAAACCCGACTCATATTGTTCACTTTTCCATAGATGGACAAACATTTAAAGAAAAAGGCCAACAGCCGCGTAACGTTCGGATAAAAATAAGGGTAAAGTAATTTCTAGGAATGATTTTCAAATGAAGTTCAGGTTAATGACTAGTTTTCATGAGTCATTTACCTGAACCGCTACACGTTTTCTGTATGTTGTTCTCGTCAGAATTAATCAAGGAACCATCCTTTTAAAGACAAACTGGGTCACAACCTGATCACTTAAGAAAACCAGCACAACGCAGAAAGGATCCGGTTACATTAGATTGACATGTCTGCAAAATGCTTTAGTGTGTTTACAATCTTCTGAAAAACCATAAAATCTCACCAAGTAAATTTGTCTACTTCCTAGTGTAAATAGTACACTTAAAATAAGACAAAACTAACTCACAAGTAACTTTTCAGCAATTAATCCATTGATGGAACTACTGCAGATCTTTTTCATCAATTTTAAGGAATTATTTACTTAAAACAAGCTCATATTTCTTGCTGACAAGATACTTGTAAGTTTGTTTTTCTTATCTCAAGTTAACTAAGATATTTTCACAAGAAACAAAATAAAAAACATATTTTTCAAGATTTTGTGGTTTTGCAGTGTATCAGATTGTAATCATTTGAGCGTTCTCAATCATTTTGCACATTTAAAAGACCTTTCCTATCAGATGATGACACAGAGGTCAACTCACCTGAATCTCCTCCCACACTGGCATGTCGCCTGGCGCCACACCCAGGTCGCTGGTGTCCACCGCTTCGTTTTCTCTCTTGTAGAAACCCGGATTACGGATGCGGCTCTGCCTGGCTGTGAAGCTGGTCGGGATTTTAAAAGTGCGCACAGTGATGATTTTCATCGGCTCCAGTTTTCCATACACAAAGCTCTTCTTTTTGGGTTTCCCAGTAAGAGAAGAGGAGCATGCACTGCTGGTGGATGCTGCTGCGCCAGCACAGGTTGCCTCCTCCTCCTCCTTCAGTGAACCAAGGCTTTTCCCTCTTCCTCTCGCCTGACCTCTGCCTGCAGCAGCCATGCCCTCGGTTTCCCTGCAGCCTCCCATCTCCATGCTGAACATGCGCTCCCAGGCGTTGTAGTTCTCCAACAGATCAGCATCCACTTCTGATCCTCTGGCTATGGCCTCCCTCTCCGCTTGAGACAACATCGGCTCATTTTCTTCATATTCCTCTTCATCCTCATTTTGTTTTTCACTAGGGAAATCCACATTAATCATGTTAACTGCTTCCCAGATTTTGTCCCTTGCTTCTTTTGCAGCTGCTCTCTCTGCTGCCTCCTTCTCCATGAGAGCCCGTTTCTTCTTCTCCTTCTCCTTCTTCATCTCCTCCTCCAGCCTCCGTTCTTCCCTCGCCTCCTCCTCTGCGGTCTGGATCAGCTCCGGGAACAGTTTCTTCATCTTGATGGAGTGAAACAGAGCGTCCTGGTCTTGCAGAGCCATGGCCAGGTCCAGACACCCAGACCTCTCTCGTTCCCTGAGCAGGTTTTCTAACAGCTCGGTGTGCGGCTGGGAACAGGCGACGTTGGAAGGCCAACGGTTCCACTCCATGGAGCAGCAAACCACGCTGGCCGGACACACCTGCAGGTGAGCCGCCCGCGAGGAGCGGGGCAGCTGGACCGGGCAGCCGTAGTCTGCGTTGAGGCACGGCACCCTCACATTGGGGCACAGCAGCAGGTGATCCTCCTCTTTGCACAGGTGGAAAACCGCTCCGCAAAGCAGACGGCAGGGAACCAGAGCGCAGCTGGCAGAAGGCTCCACCCGAGCCCTGCAGCGCCGGCTGTAGCAGGAGTCACAGTGGAGATGCTGCCGGACCCTGGAGCCGCGAGAACGATGACTCTGAGACGATTACACAGAGAACAGCAGACCCAGGAGTTACTGCTTACCTTCACTCAGTTACACTGACTAGAGAAACTTTTTATGAAGTATTTCTACTCTTACACCAGTAAAATTTCTGGGTTCTCAACTAACTGAATTTTTTAACCAAAAATTTAAGACACAGACAAAAAATGACAGTTTTTGTTCAAGTTTAAGCTTTTATTTAGCCTGATTTTTGTTGTATATTTTTTTACATATATGAATTATTATCATTTTAGTCCTTGAAATACTGAAATTTCCATTTAGCTTCATATTTTGATGATTTGATTATGTAATTTTTAAGTATTCAATGATTGATAAATTGATCAGTTACACAGTAACTGGGTAGACCTTTTACCAAATACTTTTTACTTTTACTGGAGTAAAAATATGTTAAGTAGTGTTACTGTTTGTATAGTTTATGGGTGAATCTAATGCAAATGTGTGAGTCACTATATAAGTTTTCTAATAATTATGACTTGGCTCTGTACCGATGCTTGACAAAACGCTTGTTACTCACCATTTTCACTGATTTTTCTATCCTGAAAGAGAAAAAACAAGTGAGTTTAGTACTTTAATTTCATTTCTGACATGACTCTGAACATGGTGTCATGAAGCTCAAAACTCCCTCAGCCTGTTTGGGTTTGTCTTTAAAAAAATAAAGCCAAATTTGTTCAAATAAATCAGATAATTACATCAATCTGACTGAAGAGTACAACGTTTGAAAATAAGACAAGTACGTTTAAAGATATAAACACTGAATAAAAAAAAAAGCAGTGCAACAAATTCAGTTTATGGGGCCAAATAGTAAATATTGTTCTAAGGAAGCCATTTTGGTTTTTGCAATTATCCTTCATTCTCAGCAAGTATGTGGCGACAGTGGACAGGAAAGACTCCATTCTGCTGTTACAACTCAGTTAAACCCAAACGGTGTTAAAAATAACACCTTTGCAGAAAAATTAAGAACCATTATCCAGGTTTTGTATTAGATTTTAAATATAGCTGCGTTTAATACGTGTCATAATATTCGAATCAGATTTTTGCCCATTTACTTCTGAATATTAAAATAAAAATCCATGAAAGAATTTTGACATTCTGATTCAGCGCTCTTTGTTTTCATACAATTGAAATGGGAAATTGAAACAATGACTGCTGCTCAGGCTAAAGTACAGATCTCCATACAAACACTAGAGCCAGTTAATATCTTTATCTACTCTTAAATTAGCTGCTCAACCCTCGACATCTTGAAATTTAAGCAAACTGAAAAACTCAGGTGATTTACCAAATCGCTGGCCAGACGTGTCGTTTTGTTTTCTCCTTGGTTTCATAACGTCTCTATCAGGACTGCGATTTGAACTGGCAGGTTAAAATTAGCCAAGGAGCAGCGAGCAGCTTCCCAAGGAGAAATACTCTCCACCCCAACCAGCGTCACGCTGCAGCAGATCGTTTAAAATTTACAACCTTTTTAAAACCTTCATCCGTCTGAATTAACGTGAACAAACGTTTTATGACCTGTGACAATAAATGCAACCAATAACACACACAGGAAGTGATATATTGGATTAAATATTACACTTGTAAATATCAACTGAAGGATCAAATTTTACTAATAAATAATATTTATGATGAAGCAGGAAAAGATAATAAATATGAATATATTTCCTGATTTAAGAGGTCGAGAGGACTTGTAACCTAAATATCGCTTCTGACCACCTGTGTAACATTTCTCAGCCAGGACTCTGCTCTATTTATAACAGCAACACACACACAAACACACAATAAAACACACTTTTGCTCTTTAAAAGCTGGGCTGCCTGTTTTCTTCTCAGCTCATTCAGTAGGTAACAGCTTCATTTAATCATGTCCTTTTATTCTTTTGCTGCAGAAACATAATGTGAAATTATCTGTTCATATTTATCTTGTTATAAGTCGGTTGCACTGACAGACAGACGGAGAGTAATGGAGTCTTCTTGTTTACACAGATCTGCAGCTTCATATTCAGAAACCTGCAGACGCCACATTTAAAGATGGTGAGTTAAAGCTTAAATAATAACACTGATCTCTGACTTTGATTCCTCTACAGCAGACTTTTTTTTTTATTTTAATTTACTTAAAAAATTTTTTTTAAAGTTTTACTCAAAAGTTTCTTAAAAACTTTTAAGTAAATTAAAAGTTAATGGCAATTCACTAAAATTTTATTTCTAATTAAAGAAATTATTGACCTCACAATACAGAACTTTTTATGTTTTTTAAGTTTATTACGTCAGAAAATTTGGACTTTAGATGAATCTCATGCAAGATGAAAGTAGTTAGGGTAAACTTGGATCTCATTTTGAATCTGTAAAAATGTAAATATTATCTAAGACTTCAGGCTGGAAAAGGGAAAACTGTGCAGATTTCACTAATTATTTGCAGCATCAATACTGGATATTAATATTGCTCTTCTGACCAGTATTGCATGTATCGTACTTATTTCAAAACCTTAAAATAAATAACCACACTGCTGTCTTTACAACTCTTTCTATGCTTCATTTTTTTCTTTTTACGCATTTATTTATCTCATTCATTACTTAAGTTCAGAACTTTGTTTCAGCTCAATAAAGTAGAGCTACGTTTTCTACAACATCAGATGGACCAAAATATAAAGTTAAGTGGACATTTTTGGTATTTTAAGGACAAAAATGACAATAATTCATACAAAAAACAAACAATAACAAAATGTGGCAAGAGAAAATGTTTTCAAATAAGATTCTTTCAATAAAAAATGTATTAAACTTGAACAAAAACTGTCATTTTTTGTCTGTGTCTTAAATTTTTGGTTAAAAAATTCAGTTAGTTGAGAACCCAGAAATTTTACTGGTGTAAGAGTAGAAATACTTCATAAAAAGTTTCTCTAGTCAGTGTAACTGAGTGAAGGTAAGCAGTAACTCCTGGGTCTGCTGTTCTCTGTGTAATCGTCTCAGAGTCATCGTTCTCGCGGCTCCAGGGTCCGGCAGCATCTCCACTGTGACTCCTGCTACAGCCGGCGCTGCAGGGCTCGGGTGGAGCCTTCTGCCAGCTGCGCTCTGGTTCCCTGCCGTCTGCTTTGCGGAGCGGTTTTCCACCTGTGCAAAGAGGAGGATCACCTGCTGCTGTGCCCCAATGTGAGGGTGCCGTGCCTCAACGCAGACTACGGCTGCCCGGTCCAGCTGCCCCGCTCCTCGCGGGCGGCTCACCTGCAGGTGTGTCCGGCCAGCGTGGTTTGCTGCTCCATGGAGTGGCTGCGCTGGCCAGTGGATGACACAAACCCAAATAACTTCAACGCTATGCAGGACAACATGATGAAGGAAAGAGAGACGCACGGAGAGGCTTTGGATGTTGCTATGGCTTTAGTTGACCAGTCAGACCTTTACGCCCGCCTCAAAATGAAGCCTCTGTATCCAGAGCTTATGGAGCAAGAAGAAGTGGAGGACACAAAGGAGGAGAGCGGAGAGGAGGTCGCAGTGGGAGGTGTTCAAGACCAAAACCCTACTGAAGGTTGGCCAAAATGCGGCTTGGTTCTAAAACATAAAAATAAACTTCTTCTTAAATTTGGAAAGCTCTTTGGCAGTGGAGAGTCGGTGAGGCCCGGCATCCTTCATGCTTTAGTTCTCCCTCTGGTGGAACCTTTTCATCATGTCGCTGTTCTTCTTAGGCACTGGGAAGATGGATAATTTGATCCATCAAATGATGGCTACAGCGCCGGCTGTGAAGCAGGGAAAGCATGCAGGATGCCGGCCCCTGGTCTGTGAGCCACGAAACATGTTCAGTACATCTTTTACACAAAATTCCTCTCAGATAATGAGATTCTCGTTGGTTTATTTTGAACTCCTTTCAGAATGAGCTGTTTTATATCACTTTAAAACCGCCCCTTTAAGAACATTCAGGTTTTTAATATGGCCCAAAATGAAATTAACACCTCTGCAGTAGAGATACAAACTGAAGCACAAAAACACAGAAAAACTTCTTATTTTAACGTGTTGCAACTGTTTCCCTCTGCAGCTCTTCCTGCAAGCAGAATGTCTGAAAATCCTGCTGCAGAAGAAACTGCTCAGAGTGTTGCACAGCCTGCAGTGATCAACATGGAGAAGTACAATCTGTTTGAGATGATGTTCAGCATGGAGAGAGGCGCCTGCGCTGTCGCTCAGGAGAATTTGGAAAATCCAAAACAAAACCAAAAACTAGCAGACGACAGAAGAAGCCAGAAAACACCAGAACAGGGGCGGCAGGACACAACCGGTCCCAGCAGCTGCCCTCCACCTGACACCAGTAAGACGGGTCTGGCGCCGTGGCAGGACGGGGTTCTGGAGCGGCTGGGGCAGGAGCTCACCCCTCAGGAGTACACCATGTACCTGGTGCATAACGGTCGCATGCTGCTGGCCTTCGGGCAGATTGAGGCCTGCACTTCCAGGGAGAAAGACTTTGTCTACGGCAGTCTGGAGCCCATCCCAGTCCAGACGCTGCACTCTTTCAAGGTGACGAGTTCAAGTTTGGCAAATTCACACAGAACAAAGAACAACTATTCTGCACAGCAGTGTTTCTCAAACTACAAAAAAGCTGCAGGCTCCACATCCTGACAGAAAAACGTGTCAATTAACCCCAAACCAGAGTTTTATGTTTGGTGTAATTATAAATGTAAATCTAGAGCTTCAATTTTCTTTATCTTTGAATTTCCATAAACTTGAATAGTAATTCATTGGCTGATGCTATAGATGTAAGAGGAGTGTGTCTGTTGGCTTTTTTCCATTCATTTCTTTGTATATAACTCGATAAAGTAAAACTTATAAAAAATACACAAGTGCAGTCGAAATAAAATCATTGAGAATTAAATTATGTCCAGTTGCTGTTTCTGAAAACTCCAAATTTAGATAAAGTTACCGATCGCCTCGAAGGCTGTTTAAAAATGCTGATTCTCCCAAAGCTTACCAACATCAGCCAAAGCAAGAAAACTGCCGTTAATGATCAGTAGTGTTACTTTTCACCTCTTACTCCGGTTTCACTCACAGGCTTCTCCACTGATCTCATTTCTCTTGTAAAATGCAAGGAGCTATTCTTTTTTCCTGAAAGGTGCCTGTAAGTTATCGTCATAAGAGGCGGGTTCATCTCAACGAGACGGCTGCCCGGGTGCAGACTGAACATCGAAGCGTGGACACATCAGACCTGGGCGCCGGCGAGGAGAACTGGTTTGTAGACGAAGCTGAAGCAACTCTGCTGGGCTACGCTGAGATGGCAGTCATGGGTCACAAGGTACAAAAATGTTCAGAGGTGGATGGAGAATTTAATATGACCAGAGCTGGGCAGAGACTAGGTACATTTACCTAAGTAACGTTTTTTTTTTTTTGACAAAAATGTTCTTTTGGGAGTATTTTTACTACTTTAACTTGAGTAATATTAATGATTATTGCTGCTCTTACATGAGTAAAATTCTTACATGTTTTAACCAAAAATTCACCAGACAGAAAACATCTGTGGCTTCATGTCCAGAGGTTTTACTTAAGAGTAAAAAGTACATTGTAGTTATTCAAGTAAATGCAACTGAGTAAATGTAGCTACTTTCTATCCATTTCTGATCATTTTGATTGAGCTGTTGAACACAATAACCACTGACTTCAATAAATTGTCTTATTTTTCCAGATCAGTGAGACAAAGGCAGCAGACGGGCTGTATGTGGACTTTGGCACGCAGACGCACTCTTTCCGCTCAACACCCTTCAAGCAGAGGACGACCTTGGCGGACGTGATGGCCGACCGGCCGCTGAAGCTTCTCCTGCAGCTTCAGGCGGAAACCGTAAACAGCAGGAACAACAGAGCCAGCTGCGCGTTCACGTTCCTGTGCGGTCACACCTTCCACCGCAGAGAGTTCGCCACACACTTCAGGTGCGTTGTACTAGGATGAAGAGTTGGGTTGTAACTAGTTACGTTTACTGGAGACATAAATTTGACTTAATGTGAGAAAAAAACTAAAATATTCAGTGTATAAATCTGGTTTCAGCTCAATGTAATGTCCCTGTTAAATTTTTTAAAGACTGTCAAGTTGTTACTACCACAAAAAGGTGCTCCCTAGAAGGACTTTTTGTGGAAAAAATTTATGTTGAGGAGTATATTTTACTATGCTGTACTTTATATGTGATTAATTGTACATTGAGGTTTTTCTATTTTGGAGTAACATTTCTGGATTTTCTACCCACTGAATGAAAAACAAACATGTTTTAGCCAAAGATTCACCAGACACACACCTGCTGTTTTTGTGAACGTTTCTAAGTATTTTATTGAAGTAAATTTTTACTCAGTACTTGAGTCGCAGTTTTACCAAATAATTTTTCACTTTTACCAAAGTAACTTTTTGGACAGCTACGTTTTACTTTTACTTGAGCCTAAATATGCTGAAGTGGTGCTGCTTTTTTAGCTTTTTTTAGCTGCTGAGATGTAGCTGTTCAGATGTGGATGCGCATATCCGGTGTGTTTATGTCTATACAGGAATGTGCACAGTGACATCCAGATGTGTCTGAGTGAATGGTTTGAACAGCAGTGCCCCCTGGCGTACCTGGGATGCACCTACAGGCAGAGGAGGTTTCATCCCTCCACACATAAAGCCACCGTCACCTACAAGTGAGAAAACCTCGCTTTTAAATATTCGTAAATGATTGCAGGTATATATTTTATATAATTTTTGACTTTCTGTCTTGAAGTTTTTGTTCTACTTAAAAGTCTGCTGATCTTTGAATGTACTTGGTTTCACTAAACAGTATCAGGTTAATTGTGGCTGAATGCATGCCACACTAGTATTATGTATTTTTAAGCACATAATGCTATTATATAGCACAATCAAGTAATTATATTTGCTTCAGTTGTTATAAAATGGTACATGAAGCATTACTAAAAAGAATTCTGAATTCGCTATTGAACGCTTTGAAATTGGGTCTCTGTCTCTTTAAGAAGCTCTGAGTGTTGGACTGAAATAATTCATATGATGAGGGGTTCTGTTTGCTAATTGCTGCTGGCTAGTCTAGAGGAGCTCAATGGGGGAGGAGTTTAGACAGCGCTTTGTGAGAGCAGCTGAATTGTTGCCATGAAGACATGGATGAAAGAATCATGAGAAAACATGCTACAAAGCTTAAAAAGTTGATTTTACATAATATTGCCATTTTAATGTGACAAATCTGTAAAAGTTCAAAGGTTATATAAAACCTCAGCGTGCTACTGGACAACCTGTTTTCTTTGCTTCTCACAGTCAGCAGTTGAGATGTTTCAACTTGCGTCCAGATGTTCTTCCCTCTCTGGACGGCCAAGCTGGAGACGGGGAGGACCGGCTGAGCTCGCTGCCCTACGAGGTGCTGTGCCACATGGCCGGCTTCCTGGACAGCCAGTCCCTGTCCCAGCTGGCCCTGGCGTCCCGCCTCATGAGGCAGGTCTGCTCCTCCCTGCTGCAGGACAGAGGGATGGTGACGCTCCGCTGGGAGAGGTCGAGCTCCTTACATGGGAGAGCCAGGTGGACGTCCAAACCTGTGAGAAGAAAACCTGCAGTTCAAAGTGTTTTACATAGTGCTATTATATCGCACTATGTAAAGCTATATACATAAAACACAAAGGCAGAAACTGAAACATTACATCAGCATGTTGATTGTTTTATTTATTGTGTTTCAAAAGCAATTCTAACCAGCTGGGTTTTTAGTCCAGATTTAAAGGAACTCAGTGTTTCAGATGTTTTGTAGTTTTCTGGAGGTTTGTTCCAGATTCGGTTCTGGTTCTGAGGATGCAGAGCAGACCAGAACCAGAACCAGAACTTGAGACCTCTGGAAGGTTGACACAGCAACAGCAGATCTTTAATTTAGATCAAACCATCCAGTCCACCACAAGCTGCTGTCAGTAGCTGCGCTTCCATAAACCAAACAGTTGCACAAATTGAAATTATGAAAATAAATTTGCTAAATGGAAACATGCTGATTTAAAAAAAAAACTTTTGCTTTTCAATAAAAGGTTTTTACGCTAACATGAGGTGGTTTTTCAGTCGTATAGAATGGAAACTTGTACTGGAAACACTTTTTTCACATCTATACTACTGGTGAAAACGACAAAGAAGACGACAGGAAGTAGGAGGAGGATCGTTTGTTTTTTTTACTTGTTTTCAGACAATGTGCATCTGGTTTCACCAGATCTCTCACAGTTCAGTCAAAAGTTGAATGTGTAAAATCGGCAACTACAATTTCACCTAAATGCTGCATGCAGCCGCTCCCAACTAGACGCCATGTTTCCTCTGATGAGCTGATAAATGATGAACATCACGGCTGAATTATGAATATAATCTCATGTAACTGTTTACGTCCTTCACTGACATAATTTCTAGTGACTTAAAGTGTGAACAAGCTAATTCAAATGTGATTTTCATTGCATTTCTTGTTTAAGGGAAACACTATTTGCTTCAGTTGTTATAAAATGGTATATGAAGCATTACTAAAAAGAAATCTGAATTCGCTATTGAACGCTTTGAAATTGGGTCTCTGTCTCTTTAAGAAGCTCAGTTGGAAAATTGTGTTTTCTGAAATATAGCAGAATAGTGACAAACACTTTTGTAATAGAAACACAGCTGGTGTCCTCATAACGCTGCTTCTTCCTCTCCAGGTGTGGGAGTTCAGTCATCTGTTCTCTGCAGTGGATTCATGGAACATGGCTGACATACCTCCGATTTCTGCTCATCTCAAAGTCTGTCCTTTCTACCAGAAAACAGAGCAGAAGGAACGAGTTGCCCTCCCCTTCATGACTGGAAATCAGCAGAAGAGTCCGAAGGGTCAGAGTCTCCTCACTCACTTTACAGGACAAAGATGACAACAGTGAAGAAGAACCTCTGCTTGTTGTGTTTAACTTAAACTGATTTATGTTCAAATGTAGTATTGCATCTAAGATATGTTTTAGGTTTGGCATGTGAGAATCTCTGAACCCTTATGCACAAGGCTGGATTTCCATCAATTAAATGAGACCTATAGATGTAGACATTATTAATTTAGTGCTATGTTTTCTATGTTTTCTGTAAGTCATGGTAGTTTTAGTGTTTTCTTTCTGTGGCAGAATGTTCCACGTTGAGGAACTCAGTGAATTGAGGAGTAGGATTTCAGCTCTCACAACAAGATGTTTTTGTCAGTTTATTGATCCAGAATATGTGGGAATAGTTTCCACTTCCTGTTCCACAAAGAACATGGATGAGTGAGTTTAGTTTAGTTTAGAAGACGTTGGCAGAGTCCTGACCTCTACCCAATAAAACCTTTATGCGATGAAAAAGAATGGAAATGTGAGTGAGGCCTGCTTGTCCAACATCAGTGTCTGACCTCATAAATACATCTCTGGAAAAATGGTCAGAAACACTGTGGAAAATCTTCCCAGAGGAGTTGAAGCTGTTGTAATTTGATATTTTATGTTCAGACATGAGTGATTTTTATGGGTATTTGTGCGTAGTAAAAAGCTATAATGTTTTGTTTGAAATCTTAAAAATAAAAAGACCTTTTCTTTAAAACTGTCCAACATGTTTTCAAACCAAAATCAGATTCATGTCTGCATAATAAAGCCCCTCCTCCTGGTTCTCCGTCTCTTCCTTCTTGGTGGCACTAATAACCCCTCATAGCTCAGTGCTTTGTTGTGAGCGCAACGCCGCAATGCACGAAACAGCAGAAGGTGAAGAGTAGGTTATTTCCACTCAGCCTGATCCTGCAGGATTCATTCATGCTCTGCAGAATGCGGACAGGGAAATAGTTGGAAGCGCATCCGACCAGCAGGAGACGGTAGTTTAGCGCACTGGTTGGGCTTTTGTTCGCTGCAGAGGACAGAGACTCCGGTCCAGGACAGCACGAAGGTCCATGAGACGCTTTGAGCTGCAGACCGCTTCAGTATCACGGTAGGCCACAGACAGGGATTTGGATTAAAACGCTGCTACAGCTGAGAAACACATGCAGCGAAATCAATCATGTGATGAGTGACACAGCTGCTATTTTCACCACATGGCTCTTCCCTTGTATCAAATCTTAGTTCTGCATTGACGTCCGGCTGCTAACATCTGCTCAGGTTGCGTGAAGGTTGAGCCATGGACGCCGGGAGGCTGGAGCAGCAGGTGGCCAGCGTGGACAGGGGGATCTGCTTCCTGAAGCAGGAGCACCTGGCCATGCTGACCGGCCTGCAGCTGGAGATCACACACCTGAAGAGGCGCTGTCACGGTCAGTCCCACCAGTCTGCCCGTATTTGGTATGGGCGGTTACCCAGGGCAGCATTGCAAAAGGAGGGCGGGAGTAGAAGCATCAAGTCCAAATGGGGAATTACTGCTTTAAGGCATTTGTAGTGAAAACCTTTATTTATACTAATTTTGGATCAGGCTTGACGGTAAATCAATAACAGTATCGCGATAGACTTGTGACATGATCAATATCAATAAATAAGATATCTGAATATTTAGTATATAGAATATTCACTGAACCACACAGCATTCTGGGAGATGTAGGCTGCTCAACCTCTCACAGCAGGAAAAGTTGGTAGCATCAGCTAGCTTAGTCACTGCAAAAACACAAAATCTTAAATATTAGTTCACTTGAAATGAGACAAAACTAACTTACAAGTAACTTTTCGGCAAGATAAAGGAGCTTGTCTTCAGTAAATAAATCCTTAATATTGATTTTTAAAAGTCCTTTCTTATATTGGCAGATTATTCCACTTATAACAAGACATTATAAGTAAAATAATCTGCCCATAGAGCAAGTACTTTTTCACAAATACTAAGAAATTATTGACTTAAAACTAGTAATTCTCTATTGCTGAAAATGTACTTGTAAGTTAGTTTGGTCTTACTTCAAGCTTAGTAAAAGATATTTGAACTAGAAACTGGACAAAAAAAACGTGCTAAGATTTTGTTCTTTTTGCGTTACCTAGCAACAACTTGAGTAACTTATGGTTACCTAGCAACAGCTTGAGTAACTTATGGTTACCTAGCAACAGCTTGAGTAATTTATGGTTGCCTAGCAACTTGAGTAACTTATGGTTAGCAATAATCTGTTACAATCTCCTTCAGTTTTATTTCAGCCGCTCTTGTTCAGCCGAGGTGCAGCGTAATGGATCGTCTGCAGCTTGCTTTGTAAATGTTGTTTTTTATGCTATGGAAAACCGGTCGGCCATATTGGTACAAGACAAAACTTTTAAGAAAATGGTTGTCAATGAATTGTTATCGATCAGAGCAATGTACTCATTAATCAATAACTGGATTCATCTCTGTGGATGTTTATATTGTGGATTATTCTCCTCAGTCTGTAATCTCTAATCTGACTATGCTTCATCCTTTGGGCAGAGCTGAGCTGTGAGCTGGACTCCAAGTTTCCAGACAGAAACACAGCAGGTAAGAATTTAGATTTAATGAGCAATAATCCAAATGAATTATTAAAAATGTAACAATTAACTATTTCAACTGGTTTCTGTCTTATAAAACAAAAATAATCATTAGTTTTAAAGAGAAATGTGAACTTCCATAACCTTTTCTTTACATCTTATTTTGCTTTTATGTTATGTGTAATTTTGGGAACAAAAAGTGCCTCCCTTACTGCTGTTTTACCCAAAGTTTCTGTTTCATTACAAATTGTCACAACATAGTCACATTTTCAACAAATATGTAAATATATTTTTTTTTATAAAAGTTACATGCAGCTGCTTTAATGTAAATTACATATCAATCAATCCAGCAACAAGACAGTTCAAGAACTGAGTAACTGAAGAAATTATCATTTAATATTGAAAATTACATAATCAAACAGATCAAAATACAAAGTTAAGTGTAACAGTTGGTATTTTAAGGACCAAAATGACAATAATTAATGTAAGTAACAAAAAATAACAAACGTATCTAAATCAGTTTATGTCAATTAAAAACTTTAACAAAAGCTGCAGGTGTGTATTTGAGTCTGGTGAGTCTTTGGTTACAACATGTTTGTTTTTAATTCAGTAAGAAGAGAATCTAGAACATTTACCCGAGTGAGAGTAGAAATACTTTATAGTAAAGTTAGTCAAGTAAAAGTAAAATGTAGTCATCTAATAATACCAAGAGTATAAGAGTATTTGGCAAAATGTCTACTCAAGAACTGGTATTACCAAAAATCCAAAATAAGTAACAAAAAATAAAATCAGGAAAAATATTTTTTCAAATCAGTTTCTTTCAGTAAAATAAACTTTAAAAACTGCAGATCTGTGTTTACATGTTTGTTTTTAATTCAGTGAGTAAAGAATCCAGAAAGTAGAGAGAGTAGAAATACTGACTTGAATCAAGTAAAAGTAAAAAGTACAGCGCAGTAAAAATACTCCTAAAAGTACATTTTTTTCAGAACGTTACTTGAGTAAATGTAACTAGTTACTACCCAGCTCTGAGTTTAATGCGTCTGTTTTCGTCCGTCAGAGGAGGAAGCAGAGCTGGCGGCGCGTTGCGAGGCCGCAGAGCGCCTCCTGGAGCGGCAGCAGTGCATGATGGTCACGGTGCGCGGGGAGCTGCGGGCCGGCCGGGCCCGAGCTGTGGCGCTCGGGAGGAGCCTGCGGGAGGAGGAGCGGCGGTTCCTGGAGGAGCTGAAGCGCCGCAGCCACAAGATCACGTTGCTGAATCGGGAACTTCAGCGGCAAAACGTCATGACGACGACGCTGCACCACGAGCTGCACGGCGCGCGGCTGAAACTTTTCCAGCAGCGACAGAGGGGGAAAAGAGAGCAGGAGGAGGAAGAAGAGGAAGAGGAAGAAGGAGCGTCAGACTGGCCTCTGTCTCCTCATCCCGGTGCCTCCTCCGTCCAGCCGGAGGGGAGACCCAGGAAGAACATGAGTGTGAGAGAGGAGAGGGTAAGAGCCTGCATCCCACAGGAGAGAGTCACCTCACCACAGAGTCCTCACGCGATGCCTGACCCCGCCCTCTTCCTGGTGCCGCTCAGGTACCGGCTCCTCCGCTGGAGCCGACCCATCAGGCTGCAGGACGGAGAGGACGGGGAGGACGAGTGGGAGGACATAGAGGACAGCAGGGTGCCCAGGAGGGTGGACATGGGCGCCGGCGAGGGAGAGACGGCTCTGTGACCGAGAAGGAGGACTATAATCTGGAAATTAAGTTTTATAATCTAGCTTCACTGGAAATGGTTAATCTAAACTAGACTTAGATGTATTTATATATTTACCCAGTTAAGGGTGTGAAATGTCCTTGAAAGGTTTAGAGTTCACCACAGCTGATCGTGTTTATAATCTAAAAGCAGCGTTGTGTCTGGGTTCAGCAAACGCTTCCACCAGCTGGGGGCTGCAGGTACCGATTTGTTTTTTGTCTAAAATGTTGCTAAATATAGCAAGAAAGTCACTGAGTTGGGAACAATAGTTGTTAACTTAAAATGTGCAGATGTGACCAGTTGGGCTGGTCAGCCGGTCAAACCTCGATTAACTGAGAGCTGAAGAGGACACTGGCTGATTTTTAGGGATTTGCTGAGGTGGATAAGATCAGCACCACATGTATCGACCGATCACCAATCTCCCAAAATCTGTGCCGATAAATCGACGGGCCGGTAAATCGGTGCAGCCCCAGAACCATCTTTATGTTTAGAATGGTCACTTGAAAAGGAAATTTTGTATTACGTGCACTTTATTAAATTCCTACATAACTCGTGTTGTCATCTCTGTTTTGACTGGGAAAAAACTTTTCTTAGAACGTTTGAATATGTAAGTGTAACTTACATATTCCTCTTTTTAACGCCTGGTGACGTTAAAAAGAGGAAGAAGAGTAAAAATACAAATAATCCATTTTTCACAAAGAACTTTCTGAGCTTGATTTAAACTCCTTTGTCCAGGTGTGAAAAAGACGTGAAGTTAGAGTTTAATGCAACAAGCAGTGGCAGCAGGTATTTATAATTATAAAAACACTCTCTTCCTCCTGCTTCATAACTATTGTATATAAAATCCTGACAAAATAAATCAACAATCCAAAGCAGAGGAAAAACTTTAGTCCAAAAAAACACTTCATTTTCTCACACCTGGACTGATTACATATTGTGCTTTTTATATAATGTAAAATACGATTGAAAGCAACTTTATAAAACTACTTTTAGTCAGTTCAATCATTAAAATGCGTAATAACATAATAATATATACCAGCTGAATTTAGGGAGGTTTGTAGGTTTTTATGCTTAAATTTATGAAAAATTATCGACCCAAGGATGTTGAGACTGAAAAAACATTTGAAATCTAGCCAGGATAAACGAGCAGACGGTTCTGCTCCAATATTTCTACAGAAACTCTTGAAACAACTCAAGAGCAGGCATCCTCATCCATGTTTTTGTCTTCTGTCTGGATAAAATCCTGCATGTCAAGAATGTCAAACTCATTTTTAATTTTGGGCCACACCAGCATCATGAACGTTCTTAAAGGGCCGGTTGTCCCAGAATGCATCATAAAACCTACTAAAAAACTGCTGACACATTAATAAATAGCTGTGTCTGCGTTCGATAAGTATTTATTAACATTTAAATACTAGAATAATGTAGAATAAAATGTAGAATAACCTTTTTTTTGCAATAAAAATCACTGATTTGTGGAGTTAATTTAGAAATATTTGCAAAATATCTATAAAAATACTTGCTGTAAGAAATACTGCCACTTGCAGATGAGAGTTAGCATCACATAAACCCAATGTTTTTGATCATTTTGGTGGAAAATTCACAGTAAACTCACAATTATGCATTATTGTGAAAAAGTGCATGGGTTAGTTGATTTTTCCTATTCCATACTGCAATTTGGTAGTATACTGATAAAAACTGATTTTATTTGATTGATACAATTACATTTAAGGATACAACTGTTATGCTAAGTGCTTTATTTTTTGCGTCCCTCACAAATAGTTACAGTGGACCAGATTTGGCCCCCAGGCCTTGAGTTTGACACATGTGCTGTATGTTGTCAGTTTTCCAGGTCTTTACTTAAAAATCAAACTTTCTGTTGTGAAATGTTTCCCTGTAGCAGCAAAAACGAGTTGCTACAGAAAAATAAATCTTATTTTAATGTTAGTCAGGATTTCATTTAATATATTATTCACACAGCATGAACTTTAATGGAGCAAGTGGTGAATAAACAAGCAGCAGGAGAGAGTTTCTCCAGCAGTTGATTTGCTCTTGGTGTGTTCAGAATATTAATGTCTCGCTCTCTGGTGGCATCAGACCTTCTTTTCAGCTGACGCCAAATGAATCTTTGAGGAAACAGGATCTGAATACTGAGAGGTTTGTTTTTAGGTGGTTTGGGACAGAGGATGGGCTTCAGTAAACACTAGAAAAGAGGAAATGTGGAATTCATCTGATTACATCATGAAGTCCAAGGGAAAATCCGGGGACATTCATCATTTACCAAGAATGTCTGGAAATTTAAAACACAAAATTAAAATTTTGTACCAAAGATTTAAAATTCATTAAATATATTGTCACTAATACAATCAAACTGACTGCTTGAAATATAAGCACTCGATAATATTCAGATTGAGTTTCTGATAACACCATTTCTCTATATGGTAGATTCTCAATTTAATATGTGTGGACTTTGACTGGGCCACAGCACCTCGCGAATATGCTTTGATCCAAGCCATTCTGCATGCACAAAGGAGTGCTACTGCAGATCCTTCCTCCCATCAGCTGGCAGACTTTATGTAGGTGGGAGTATACGTAAGAAAATGTTTACATCAATGTGGCCATTTTTCCATTTCTTGTAAATAGCCTGCTGCTTTTAGATGCAAAAAAACAAACTTGCGTTTTGTTAGTTTACTTGCTGAGTTCCACTTTGAATTTGAGAATGTAATTTTTAAATCCTGGCCAATATTTCTGTTTTACACTGTAAATTTGAAGCTTACTCTGTAGCCTCTTATTCTTTATTAGAATAGAATAGAATAGAATAGAATAGAATAGAATAGCTAAGCTAATTTTGCTAGTATTAACTGTAAGTACTGCAGTTAATATCACAATATTTATCTTACTATCACACAGAGGTGTGTTCTAGTAATACCTGTAATATTATTATATTATATTATATTATATTATATTATATTATATTATATTATATTATATATATATTATATTATATTATATTATATTATATTATATTATATTATATAAATATTATATTATATTATATTATATTATATTACATTATATAATATTATATTATATTATATTACATTATATAAATATTATATTATATTATATAAATATTATATTATATTATATTATATAAATTATATTATATAAATATTATATTATATTATATTATATAAATATATTATATTATATTATATTATTTATATATTTATATTATATTATAATATTATATAATATTATATTATATTATATTATATTATTATATAATATTATATTATTTATATTATATAAATTTTATATATTATATTATATTATATAAATTTATATTATATTATATTTTAAATATTATATTATATATTTATATTACATTATATAAATTTATTTATATTATATAAATATTATATTTATTATATTATATTATATAATTTTTTTTTATTTATATTATATTATATATTATATTATTTATATTATATTATATTATATTATATTATATTATATTATTTATTTATTATATTATATATATTTATTATATTATATTATATTATATTATATTATTCTAAGCCTGTGGTTGCTTTGTTGTTTTCATAGCAACTCCATAGCAAATGCCTGCCTATGGCTGTCATGACAAAGTTCAAAGTTGACGTCACATGAGAACGAGATTTAGTGTTAAAAACAACATACAAAAACTACTACTAATAATAATAATAATTAATAACAATAATAAGAATAAGAATATAAAAGATTATAACAGAGAAAACTATGCAGTTATTGCAAATTATTTCACCAAAAAATAAATGACATACATGGAAATTTGCGCTTGTAGCGTCACATAATGGTAAATAATAATAATAATCAGAGATGAGAGTAGCCAAAAGTAGTACTCAAGTAAGTAGTGCTACTTCAACGTATTTTTAATGAAGTAAAATTGAAACGTAGCCGTCCAAGAAATGATTCAAGTAAGCGTGAAAAAGTAATTGATGAACAACTAAGTGATGAGTAACTGGTCAAAACGTCAGTCATTTAATATTTAAAAATTACATAATCAGATAGACTAAAATGTAAAATTATGTGGGAAATTCAGTATGTTAAAGATCAAAATGAAAATTATTCATATAAAACATCATTATAAAATAACAGAATCAGACAAAATATATTTTTTTCCAAATCAATTTATCTCAATATTAAACTCATGAAACTTTGACAATAACTTCAGGTGTGTTTGTGTCTAGTCACATTTTTCTTAATGCAAGCTTGTTCTTCATAAATTTTACTAACGTAAGAGTAGAAATACTTCATAAAGTACTCAAGTAAACTGAAAAACTAAAATACTCCTAGAAAAACATTTCTTCCATAAAGTCACTGAAGTACCTAAATGTAACTAGTTACTAACTGATAATAACTTTTCTGAGTCAGTCCATGAAGAGAAACGGTGAGCAGAATCGTTTTTCCACCAGTAGATGGCGGTAAGGCGCTCATGCTGCCACCTGCATACGTCAATCTGAATCACACAGGAAGTTACATCATGTGCAGCAGCGAGGGAGCCCCCTGCTGGCCGCTGTTGGGTATGGTCTGAACAGGGAGAGGGCCCACAGGCTGTGACAGCTCCTCTTTCTCCCCCCACTCATGAAGGACACTCAGTTTGTGTAATGTAGTCACCCATCAAGGACAGGAGAGCGTCTGCAGGAAACCCTGGGAAACTCTGTGATTTCACCAGGATGGAAACTAGAAGATGACACAGAGTGACTAATTTCTTCTTCTTCACTGGATGGTAGGGCTCACACGTCTGATGTCATATTTTTGTTGTGTTTGAGGATCATGCAAACCTTCACCTGCAACAGTTTAGGCTCTGGTGACCATTTGGTGCTTTAAATAGGACATTAATCTTCACAGCTGTATTTATTTTCACATCTTCATGTGGTTGAACTCTGATTTAGTAATCTCCATCTTACTTTTTAAACTTTTCTTTCATGGATTTATTAACTGCTCTGCACCATCCACAAGACTGGAGCTAAAACTTTAGATTGTCCAGTTTATGCTGAAACCCAGAGCTGTGTAGTAACTAGTTACATTTACTCAATTAAATGTACTTAACTGTTTGTTTGTTTTGGGTTTTTTTGTAGTTTTAGGAGCATTTGTACTAAGCTGCATTTTTTACTTTTGAGTAATTTTATTGTTAAGTGTCCTTCATTTTTACCTGATGATTAAAAAACAAACATATTTCAACAAAAAACTAATTTTTGAAATTAATTTGGGAAAAAATATTTTTTGGTAATAATTTTATTACTTTTTGTTGCTTATATAAATTAATTCGATTTTTGTCCTTAAAATACCAAACATTTTCCTTAACTTTATATTTTGGTCCATCTGACGACATATTTCAAAAATATAAAATAATTGATAATTTGATCAGTTACTCAGCACTCCAGTAAACTTTTTACCAAAATATTTTTCACTCTTACTTGAGAAATTTTTTGGATGGCTGCTCTTTACTTTTAAAATATGTTGAAATATTTCTACTTTTACTTGAATACAATAATTGTTTTACTCAAGCAAAAGTAAAAACTTATTTGATAAAAAAAATCTGAGTAACTGATCAAAACATTAATAATTTAATATTTAAAAATTATTCATAATATAGACTGAAATATAAAGTTATGTGGAAATTTTGGTAAATTTTGGTAAATTAAGCATGTTAATGTTAAGAAAAGAAACTTTAAGAGAAACTGCAGGTGTGTGTCTGATGAATTTGTGGTGAAAACATGTTTGTTTTTATTTCAGTGGGTAAAAAGTAGAAATTTTACTAAAGTAAGAGTAGCAATATTTCATTATAAAATTACTCAGATAAAAGTAAAAAGTACAGAAGTAAAAATACTCCTAAAAGTAATTTTTTTCAGAAAAAACTCTGACAATAGAAAATTTAACAGGAACCTTCAGCTAATTTGGATCTAAAGCTCCATAAAGAGTCAAAACTAAATTTTTGCACTTTTTTTTCTTCCTCACATTAAATTAAGTTAAATTTTCTCTTGTAAAGTAGGGGTCCCAAAATTATTCCCATTTGATAAATATCAGACAAAAACTAATAGGACTTGTAAAAAGTGGGTAAATGTACAAATTAAATTTTTTTTTTTCGTAGTCCAGCCTGACGCGGAGCAACGATGGGAAACATCTTCCATTGCTGCCGCGGATTGTTGCGCTTCTTCAAGCGTCCGGGCGATCCGGTTCATCAGGGCGCTGAGCAATCTCCTCTTCTATCAAGCCAGGAAAGCGATGTTGACTCTTTGGATGACAGTTTGATAAACCCTTCAGCTGGTACAGCAAACCCTGCTCTTGAGCCAGAGCATTTCCTGTTTCCTGACATCATACTCAGCAGCAACGCTGCAGGCGAAGTGACTCTGGTGGAGCCCATGGTGTGTCTGCTTGTTTCTGAGGAAGACGAGGCGCAGGGTGATGAAGGAGGCGCAAGGGAAGGCAGAGACAGGTGTTTCTCTGAGGTGGAGACGCAAACCGAAGTGGAGATCCAGATTAGTGCGGAGGTTCAGACTCAGACTGACTCTGAGCCAGAAATTCAGACGGCGAACGATAAGAACATCACAACATCAACAAAAGCAAAATCAGAAATGGAGCAAAACATCAAGCTTCATGAAGAGAGCGCAGCAGGGTTTGTTTGGACTGAGCAGCACCAGGTACTGATCCATCCCAGTGGAAATGGTTCTGAGAGGACCGAACACTTTGGTGCAGAACGTGAAAGCAACACTCATGAGGACTTCCAAGTAAAACATGAACTACGTGATGAAGATCCAGGAGTTCATAACGTAAAAAACGAAATTATCCACACTGATGAGTCAGTAGATGAGCCCATATTTCACAAGACTCACATGAACGATCCGGAAAACGTAAAGAGAGAAATGGAGGACCAAGATAAAAATGGTTTGCAGCCTCTTTCAGAGGAGGAGCCGCTTGTCAAAGGTTGGTAACCGGCGTCCATCTTTGTTCATATTCTGTTGTTATGATGTTTAAGGTTTAATTCTTTAAACCTCAGGTGTGGCTTCAGAAACCTCTGAGGATGAGCTGCTCAGCAAGAGAAAAACTCTGCCGAGCGATGGAGAAGTCGCTGATCTCCAAGAGGACAAATTTACAGTCCGAATTCAGCCGCCTGGAACAGAAAGTTTTGATCTTCAGGTTCTGCTTTCTTCAGTATTTTCCTAAAAGTGCCTCTACCTCCCTCCAGTCAATCACTATGCTGGCATTCTCACTAAAACCAGGAAGATATTAATGAAAGTAGATGGGTCAAAAGGTCAACCAGTCCCCCAATTTTACAAAATCAACATGACCTTTAAACATTCATTAATAGGTTCAAAGCCAAAGCAGCACAAAGATTTTTGCTGCACAAACCAGCATGAATGTAGTTGAGTTGATTGACACCAATTCTGTCTGATTTGAAGAATGTGAGGTTCGAAATTCCCTCAGCTTGTTTGTGTCTTTGTCACTGTGTAAATGTAATGTAAATGTGCTATAGAGATAAACTTGATTGATTGATTGATTGATTGATTGATTGATTGATTATCCTCCCCTCTCAGGTATCAGGGCAGATGTCGGTATCTGAGCTCCATCAGGTGCTCATGGATCATGAACTCACCTGCCACCGCTCCTGCTTCTCCCTGCAGCTGGGAGGCGCCGTTCTGGACGGCGCCGCGGAGCTGGGCTCCATCCAGGGAATCCAGGAGGGGGCGCTGATCAGGGTGGTGGAGGGTAACTGACTCTAACTTTCTCCCCTCATCCTCTCTACTCACTGCTTTTCACGACAATCATTTGATTTGAAGCTGTGTCTTCATCCGACTTTGGACCGGAAGCTACCAGAAGAGAATCAGTCTGAACGTTTTACACACTTACATGCTGACAGTTGTTTTGAAAAAGCTGAAAACTGAGCAAATTTAGTGAGAAGTAACCAAACATTGAAAATATAACTATTAAGGTTGACAAAAAACACAAAAAGTCACCAAATAATTTCACTTTGTGGGTTTTTTTATACATATATCTGTAAATATGAACCATAGTAAGTTAGAGAGATGCATTTGTTTTTGTTTCAGTCAAAAGTTTTAATATTAAACAAAAATAATGTGAGTAAATACCAAAACCAGTTTTCAAATCACATGCTGACAAAGTGTTTTTTGTCCAGTTTCCAGAGAAAATATCTTAGTCCACTTGAAATAAGAAAAACAAACTTATGAGTTCCTTTTCAGAAAGATATAGCAACTTGTTTTAGGAAGCAATTTCTTAATATTTATGAATATTAAGGAAGTTGTAACACTTGTTATAACTTTTAGAAATTCACTTATAACAAGATATTTTTCCTCATGTCATAAGTGAAATAATTTGCTAATGGAACAAGTACTTTTTCGTCAATATGGAGGAATTATTGACTTAAAACAAGCTGAAAAGTTACTTCTAAGTCAGTTTTGTTTTACTTCAAGTGAACAAAGATATTTGCACTAGAAAAAAGACAAAATACTTGTAAATATTTTCTGTTTTTGCAGTGCAATTTCATTATCAGAGGGAAATAAAGCTATCAAAACCAATCAAGATGAATGTGGTAATATAGCTGCTCACTGCAAGACCTGCAAAATTAAGAAATTATTTATATGTACTTTAACTTGTCTGACACCATTAAATGGAGCAAAATATCTCAAAAAGCAACATGTACCAAAACCCGATCTAAAGAAAAATACAAGCACAATTGAAAATACGTAAGTACTATGGAGGAACGTATTAATTTACAATCTTTACCACCCAACAACTCGATACAAGGAGTTCATGGTGTTTTCTATTTTAATAAATGTTCAATAAACTATTTATCAAAGTAAAGACATCTATCAATCTATAAAGGATTATAAAGCCATTTCTAAAGGATTGGGACTCCAAAGAAACTGCAGTGAGAGCCATTTATTTTTCTCAAAAAACACCTTGATGATCCGGGACGTTGGAGAAAAACTTTCCGTGGACCAACGAGACAAAACTGGGACCAAGTTAAAACTAAAAGCAAAAAACGAACATCAGCAAAACATGGTGATGGCGGTGTGATGCTCTGGGCTGCTGCAGGACCTGGACGACTTGCCCTCATTAATTATGGATTCTGTTCGTGAGGAGAAAATCCTGAAGAAGGAGAAGATGCTCTACAATATCTGGGAACTTTCCAAGTCTTACTGATGCCTGATGTAGCTCACATGTAGTTATGGTTTTATTATAATAGTTTTATATTTTAACACAAGAAGAAGTTAATCTTTGCCTTTTAATTATTTGTTTTTGTTATGAACTTCATGTGTGACCAAAAGTTTTGAGACTGTCAAATGTTTGGGGTTTTTTCCAAACATTTTAGCTTAAATGTTGTAAGAACTTTTTCACTGACAATCCAACATTAAACATTTGATGTGTTTCAAATACCTTAATTGAAAATAAACCAGATTATGTAAAGTTCAAGTAATGAAAATGTTAAACTTTCTCATGTAAATTACAGGATTACTGGTTGTTTCTTATACAAATATAACCTGTGCTTGAAAGGTTAGCAAAACACAAAATCTCGACAAATGTTCTTGTCTAGTTTCAAGTGCAAAGTCAAGCATTTTTGCTTTTCAAACTCAGAAATGCCCATGCTTTTTCTAGAAAATTTCTGAGATTTATCTTCAACTTTCTGAGTTTTTCTCCAAGCAAGTTTTTTTTGATCAACCCTAAAACTTTTGAAATAAGAAAAACAAACTTTTCAGGAATAAATTCACTTATAACAACATTTTTCCCAAGTGAAATAGTCTGCCAATTGAACAAATAGTTTTCCATCAATATTAAGGAGTTATTGACTTTCATCTTGCTAAAATGTGACAAAGATATTTGTACTAGAAACTAGACAAAACTACTTGATAAGGTTTTTTGTTTTGAAATGAAGTTCATACTGAAACTGGAAGGTGACGAACCTGAGTGAAGTTGCCCCCAACCTTCTTCAAATCATTCAAAATTGGTGTCAATTAACTCGACTACGTTTGTATAGCAAACATTTTCGTTTGTGCTGCTTTGGCTTTGAGGATATTAATAAAAAGTTAAAGGTCAAAAGATCAACCAAGCCCACACTTTTATAAAGTCAGACAAAATTGGTTTCAAACGATTGCACAAATGTAGTTGAGTTAATTGACACCCATTTTGTATGAATAGAAGAAGGTTGGGGGGGCTGATTGACTTTTGATGACCTCTAGAAACATTTCTTTATATTGTGGCACAAACAACATTTTGCTGCACAAACGTTTGACGTCAATTTTGTCTGCTTTAATAAAAGTCGGGGGGCCTGGTTAACCTTTAACCTTTCATTAATATCTTCAAAGCCAAAGCAGCACAAACGAAAATGTTTGCTGCACAAACATAGCGCAAACGTTTGACACCAATTTTGTCTGATTTGAAGAAGTTTGGGGGCCATCTTCACTCAGGTACAGACTGGGTCCGATTTCGTATTGTGACAAAGTGCTTTGCTGAGTTAAAATAAAACATTATTTATTATGAAATTGCTTTTTTTGTATTTGACAAAGTTGTCTGAAGGGAATTGATAAATAAAATAACAGTTCTAGTTTAGAGCAAATCTCTTTGAGCTAAATGAAGAATCAGAATTTATGCTAGCAGCTAGCTCTGTGGCTAACGCAGCTAGCAGCTCTGTTTGGGAATAAAACTCACTGCAAATTGCATCCATAAAAACCCAGAGTTTATTTTTAACCAATTTTAAAACTTTCACCCTTAACTTCACTCTAAAGCATGACTTGTCTTGTTTCAGGTTCATACTCGGTGCGGGATGTTCGCGCTCATCTGCGTCACGTCCGCAACCTGCTGCGGAGCCTCGACCCTTCCGGCCGCTCGCTGTCCTTCCTGTCCTCCTTCACCGGAGCACAAGGTACAGCACGGTACTCCACGGTACCGTCCCTCCTTCTGGGTTAGTTTGTCAACATTATAGCCGCTGTACTCGCTGCTTCAGGAAGTGACAGTATGGAGAAGGATTCAGGGTCCCGCTGCCCGCCATTTTACATCTTGCCCGGATGTAAGGAAAGACGTCTCACTCCTCTGCAGCCCTTCAGAGGCGACTGGAAGGTGAGATCTCAGTCTGGATAACATGGCTGAGGTGAGTTGTGTTAAACACTGGGTGATGTGTGCAGCCTCTGCAGTGCCTCAGAGTCCTGAACATCAGCAGCTGGAACCCGCCTCCAGGAAACAGGAAGCTGCACGGAGACCTGATGTACATCAGCGTCCTGACGATGGAGGATACAGAGCTCAGCATCACCTGCTGCACTCGGGGTTTCTACCTCAACCAGTGAGTGTGAAGCTCCTTTATGTGCACAAAATGGTCTCACCTACTTATTCTGAAATATTTCCCAAGTCTAGTTTGCCATGAAACTATTTGGCTGATTTAGATTCTCCACTGGAGTTTTTGCAGCATAATTTGGTGATTCATTAACTTCAAAATTAGAAAACAAAAAACTACTCCTAAATACTAATAGTACAAAAAAATCGTCTAACTTATTAGGGTTTTCTGCAGAAGTGGGCATATTGACTATAATTTATTGTGAAAAAAGTTTTGTCATCATAAGTATTTTGATTTATTATTTTGATTTGTGAGTTTCAAAAGTTAAAATTTTTTGATATTTTAAACTTTTTCTGAGATTAATGTAAAAAATTATGAGTTTTTACAGCAAAGTTTTGATTTTTCAAACTCAGAAATTCCCATGCTTTTTATAGAAATTTTTTTAGATTAATATCAAAATTTCAGAATTTTCCCAATCCAATTTGTGACTGTTGGAGCACAGAAAGTTCCTAGTTTTCTCTAATTTATGTTTGAGTTTTTTGGCAGAAATGTTTTTCTCCTGTTTTCCTACAATGTCCTTAATTCGGCGTCATACTTTAGCGGTTCCAGCTGCTGTCTTTCTGCTGCAGGTCCACTGCCTTCAACTTCAACCCCAAACCTGCAGCTCCTAAAATCCTCTGTCACTCTCTGGTCGAACTTCTGAGCCAACTCAGTCCCTCGTTCAGGAAAAACTTTGCCGCCCTGCAGAAGAGGAGGTGAACACTCTGGGTTTGTTGGTGATAGAAAAGGGGCGTCGCAGCATTAGTAATCCTAGAGTATAAAAAACTCCAGGCAGCCTAAGAATGTCTCTGTCATGATCCAGAGTTCGTCAGCACCCGTATGAGTGCAGTCGCGCTCCGGCCCAGGTGTGGCCCTGGGCGGCGCCTCCTGGAGATCACAGCCTGGACTGTGTGACTGCAGAGGAGACGGCCGGACAGGTTACAAACGCCAAACAGCATCAACAAGCAGCAAGACTAAGAGGCTGGGTTTGATGATCACACTGACGTTTGTGCAGATTCGAGACTGGAACGAGGAGCTGCAGAGATCCAGGGAACTTCCCAGAGCTTCGCTGCTGGAGCGGCGGCACAGAGACCGGCGAATCTTCAGGGTGAGAAGAACAAAGACGAGTTTCTCAAACTTCTCCAGGCGTAGGATCGCTCAGTCCATTCAACAACCAGCTAACCTGAAGCTCCCCCTCAGAAACACAACATATACACCCTGAAATGGAAACATTAGTCTCTTAACTCTCTTATTGTTGTCTTTTTTTATTCATCTATGAACAAAACATTTTATTTCAGTCCATAATCATATAATCAGAGGTGAGTAATTTAATCAGTTACATCCACTTGAACGTTTTTGAAAAACTTTTAGGAGTATTTTTGCAACACAGTACCTTTTAGTTTTAATTTTTTAATTTTATTATGAAGTATCTCTACTCTTACTTGAGTAAAATCTTTGGATTTTCTACCAACTGAATGAAAAACAAACATGTTTTAACCAAAAATTCACCAAAGTCCTGCAGTTTTTGTTAAAATTCTTTGTCAAAAGAAACTGCTTTGGAAAATATCTATATTCTTCCTCATTTAGTCATTTTTAATTGTTTAAATTTTTGTTCTTAAAATACCAAAATTTCCACTTGAATTCATATTTTGGTCCGTCTGATGATGTAATTTTTAAATAATAAATGACTGATAATCTGATCAGTTAGTACTTGAGTAGACTTTTACCAAATACTTTTACTTGAGTGAGAATATGTCAAAGTACTTCTCCTCTTTCTTGAGTATAATTGTTGAAATAATTTCTCTCCCTCCTTTGGGAATGTTTTGTTTTTCTCTCCATGCAGATCAACAGTGACTTTGTGGCGGCTGCAGCTCAGGGTGCCGTGTTCATGCTGGAGGGAAACGTCATGCCGCTGAATCCACAGGAGCCGCCTCACCTTCACATCTTTCTGTGGAACAATCTCTTCTTCAGCCAGGGATTCGACATGTCGGACCACTACACGGCAGTCGGTGGCGATGCCGCCGCTCACGCTGCCGCCCTGTGCGACCTGAGAGGAGTTCAGGTGTTTATCAATCCTGAACGTTTCCACATCAAACTTCAATGTGTTTCCATGAGGTTTTGTGTACGAGGAAAGCAGCGTAATACATTATATGTGATGTCATTCATCACTTCAAAATGGAAGAAAAATAGTGGCAATAATGAAAACCAGAACGGTTTGTTTCTACTTCCCTGTTTGTTGATATTTTGTAGAATCAGATTTTGCTATTGTAGACGCTTACTTATGGAGTGAAATTAGGATCGAGTTTGTTCAAAAGGGGAAAAAATTAAACTGAAAATGTATATTTAAAACAGAAGAATAAGTTTGAAATAAAAAAAAACTTGAATCTCAAAAATAGTTTTGCACATTTTTTTGTTTCCACTTTTTTCACTTTCTAATAATTTTTCACTTCCAAATCTCTTTTGTTAGATTCTGAAAATGTTTCAGCTTCAATTTTTTCACTTTGAAACATTTTTCAGTTCAAAATAAAATTTCAGATCCAATTTATTATTTACCTTCAAATTGTTTTTCAACTTCAAATTTTTTTATCTTGAAATTCTTTTCCTTTCCTTCCTTAAAATTTTTTCCTGTTCAAACATTTTTTCATTTGAACTTTTTTTCTATTTCAAATATTTGCTTCAGTTTCAAATATTTTTTTTCAGTTTCAAGATCCTTTTTCTGTTTAAATTTTTTTCAGTTGAATTTATTTTTTCCAGTTTCAAAACAATTTTTCAGCTTCAGTTTTTTTTGTCTTTTATCCAAACTTTTTGGTCCCAACTTCACTCCTTATCAGAACACTTTGTAAAACACTAAACATTTCTTTTCACAAGCAGCTATCTCTTTGTCCCTCTTTGATATTTAGGCTTGTGTAGTTGGAAATTAATAGTTTGCTTGTTGATAAATTAACACACCTGAGCTGTGGATCTATACAGCCCCCCCAAAGTAACAACAGGTTTCCTGGTTTCTTCTCTGTCAGTTGAGACAAGATAATGTTTTTATTTAATCTATTTTTAATCTACAGTTAATTATGTACTAATGTAGTGATTTGAGATGTTTCTCCTGTTAGAAAATTTACTTTCTGATGCTTTAAGGTCTGATTATCCAACAGAACCTCATCTTGTTCTTGATCAATATTTGTATTTCCAGGCATATGCGTCTGTGGACACACAGGGGCTCCACACGCTCGGCACGGCGGTGGTGGATTATCGCGGTGTCCGTGTCACCGTTCAGACCGTCGTTCCCGGGTTACTGGAGAAAAACCTCGAGCAGATAGTTTACGGCTCTAATGACAACGGGAAAACAGTTTTTACTCACCCCAGGTGACTCTCATGGCATCCACGTGTAAAGAGAGTCAAAACAGTTATAATTTGGTTTGTTTAGTGTTCATATTTTCACCATGTTATATATGCATTTATAATGTTACAGATCCAAACTAAATGTTTAATTCACAAGCTAAGTATTTAGTTGACAGTCTAAGTATTTAGTTTTGAAACTAAATATTTAGTTTCAAGCTAAACCTTTAGCTTGAAACTGCATATTTAATTTGAATGTTAAATGTTTAGTTTGATAATTAAATATTTAGCTGGTGAATGAAATATTTAGTTTGGAACTAAGACATTTATAAACGCATTAATAACATGGCTAAAATATGACTTTAAGAAATAATTTTTTTTTCTATAACAGGCTAAATAAACCAAATTGTTGCCGTTAACTTTTTTACAACTTTGCATCCCGTACGCCATCACATTAGTTTTCACATTTTAGCCACATTCGTGTTGATAAAGGAAGCCGCCATGTTTTTGGTATTTTGCAGGTTTTTGGAGCTTCTGGATGAGAGCAGTAAGTCTCTGAGGATCCAGCCTCACTCGGTCCTGGACCACAGCGGCAGCCCTGTGGAGCTCCGGTCGGCCGTCTCCACAGTCGGGATATTTGGCAGTGATGAACGTCCGTACATTTTGGACCTCCTGAGGACTTTCCCTCCGGATCTGAACTTTCTGCTGTCGGCTGAGGCGCAGCAGGAAGTTCCCACAGCATGCCGCAGCTTCGGCTTCCCGCGACGTCACCGCCACGGCCTGGCCAGGCTCCGGCCGCAGCTGGTGGAGGCCTTCATCCAGCACAGGTGAGGAAGAGGAGCGAGGTCACATGACCTCACATGATGCATGAAAACATCTGGAAAAATACAAACAAATCCTACATAGAAATAAAAGCATGAAAAATAACTTTCCTTCCTTCCTTCGTTCCTTTGTTCCTTCCTTATTTTGTTTATTCTTTCCATCCTTACTTCCTTCTTTCCCTCCTTTCTTTCTTCCTTCCTTCCTTCCATTTTTTTTTGTTTCCTTTTCATGTTAAATTGTTTAGGAACTGCGATTAACCAAGACGGATGAAAACATGTTTTTGTTTTTGTTATTTCTTCAAGGTATGAGCTTTTTGCTAAAATGGCGTCCGATGATCTCGGCCATCAGTTCGTCACAGAGAAACCTGAGGAACCTCAGACAGCTGCAGGTGAGAATAGTTTTTTGAATAAGTAAATAAAATTACATGTTCTGTTACAACAAGAGTCGAGACGTGGAGCCATGACGTAAACAATCTTGTCTGCTTCAGAGAAAAGTTACAACTAAATAAAATCTTCAGAAAGGAAAAAAAAGTTTGGAAAATATGGATTTATGCAAAGAAAATACAGATAAATTGGAGTTAACCCTTCTTAATATGACCTTAGGTTTTAAACATATTAAACATGGCTGCCAAAGAATTTGGTGTTCACAGGGTGTAACAGACTTTCAACATGTAAATACTGTGCAAAAGAGTAAACATCTGACTCAATTTAATCAAATAATTAAGATGATTTTTACTATTTATCTGTAAATCCCTTCTTTTATTTATTGTTTAGAACAAAACACAAGGAATATCATGTGGAAATTTCGTGAAAATGTCGGCTCTGTGAGTGACTCTGGCTTTGACATCCGCTTCAATCCTGATGTTTGCTATCCAGGTACTACATACAGACACGCTTCTATTTCTATTTTTGCTTCTATTTTGTAGTTCATTTACTCCATCTAGCCATCACTTGTGTCTTCCTGAACACTAAAATTGACTTTTTGCTACATAATTCAACAAGTCCTATCATAATTATACGAGAAAGTCACTAAAAAGGTGAAATAAACTGTCAGCCATCAGTTTTTTCTTGCGTTTTTCTTCAGGCGTGCGTTTTCCCTCCGAGTGTCTCCCGGACATACAGAGACAGAGTCGTCTACTTTGGGACGCTGCTGCGTTTCTTCTCTCGAATCAGATTCCTGCAGTGGTGAGTCGGGTCTGGGAGTGACGAGTCCACTTCAGCTCATGAAACCTGAAACCCTCACGGTAATTTAGGCAAACCAAGAAAAACAAAAATACCTTCAATTGTTTCAAATATACACAAAAAACTCAGATAGGAAGTTCAGTTCAGTTCAGATTTATTCAAGTTGCTAACCAGCTATTAATGTTGCAGCAATTACATATTTACACACACACACAGTAAATGTATATATATATATATATATATATATATATATATATATTATATATATATATATATTATATATATATATATATTATATATATATATATATATATATATATATATATATATATATATATACATATATATATATATATATATATATATATATATATATATATATATATATATATATATATATATATATATATATATATATATATATATATATATATATATATATATATATAGAGAGAGAGAGAGAGAGTACTTTTTACTTTTACTTAAGTAATTTTATTGTGATGTATATGAGATGAGTAAATCTCATATACATGAGATTTACTGCTCTTACATGAGATGAGTAAAATTTCTGCATTTTCTACCCACTGAATGAAAAACAAACATTTTTTAACCAAAAATTCATCATCAGACACACATCTGCAGTTTTAGTTAACATTTCAAAAGAAAACCTCTCATGCCATTTTCTCACAAACTAATAAAACATTCAAATAAAAATTATAGAAAACACAGTAAAAACATGCAAAAAGTAAAAACAATGTGTTTTTAGCTGAGGGACTGCCTCGACCATACAGCTGTCCCGATGGACGGAGCGACTCTGACCTCAGCGATCCATCAGCGGGGCGTAAATGTGCGATATCTGGGTGCCATGTTGAAGGAGCTGGACAAGATGGAGGAGAGAGAAAACCTGAGCCATGTGCAGGTACACCGCATTCATTTTAACTAAAAAACAAAATGCATAATTGTACATCAATATCTGTATTTCCCCACGTAAATGAGAGTCTTCATTTATTATGAAATGGATAATACAGCTGCACCATAATTAAAAAAAAAGTAAAACATTAACAACAATACAAAGTATTTGTTTTTTATAATCAAGCTTTTTTTAGGAAATAGAAACAAGTTTATTTCTGACTTTTACAACTTTAACTGCAGCTAAATCAGTTTTTATCTGATTTCTTAAACTTGACAAAATGTTAGCAAACATTTTGAAATAAAGTGACTCAAATCCTTTTCTTATAATGAGGATAATTTTGTTCAATCGAGCGAAAAACAAACTGAAAATTATCATTCAAATTATCTTGATTTGCTTGTTTTTGTTGTCGTTATTTTTTTGACCCACAAATACTTTTGACTCAACAATTTGAGACAAAAAGTTTGGACACCCCCGACTCATGCAGTAGATAAGCATTACTACTTCTCTACCGCATGTAAATGTAATGTAAATACTTGTTTTTAACATTAAAAATATATATCCTTTGTCTCAGATAAATGTCTAACTCTGTCTAAATAATCAATCACTTTTTCCCACAGAGAATTTCCATCAGTGAAATCATCACCAGAAGTGCGAAACACATCTTCAGGACCTACATGAAGGTGCTGAGAGAAATTAGTTTAGACCAGTCTTTCTCAAACTGGGCGCCCTCTAGCGGCCCGCCAGGTACTGCATGTAAACAACTGTTAGGTTAGCTCAAATGCTAAGCTACAGTTAGCTTACCAAAGGATTGTGGTTAAAAATAATAATGGATAAATGGCTTAAGATCGGGTCACTAAACAGAAAGCTTGATGATGGCGGTGGAAAAACTTTTGTTTTTGAATAATGTTGCGATACAGATCTCGATGCTGTGACATGAACCTTTACACATAAAGTAAAATTATTAATGTTGAGCTAAATCTACTGGCTGAAAGGAAATATTTGGTTTTTCCAACACAACTCAAGTCTATTTTTCTTTTATTGTGCTTCTAAATTACAAATAGCCCTAAAATATTATTAATGTAACTAACTTTTTTGATTTTTTTATGTGTTTTCTATCAATGGAAAGCTTAGAATCCAAATCCACACCTTCAGAACCTGCAAATAACTCAAAACAACATTCATGGTATGATTGTGGCCAGTCATATGTACAACACAACATCACCCTTCCCTTTAAGCGGAACTTAAGAGACTAATATTTTAATTTCAGATTGTATGATGTTGAATGGGTGTTTGTAAGTGGTCTTCAGCCTGAATAAGTTTGAGAAACACTGGATTAGACTGAACATAAAATCCTCTGATTTGAGGTCAATTAAGTCACGTCTTTCTGTCAGGATGTGGAGCCTGCAGCTTTTTCTGCAGCTGTCAGTCACTTCCTAAACTGCCTGCTGAGCTCGTCCTCCGCTGCTGTTCCTGGTTCCTGCAGCGATGAGCTGCCGTCCCGCCGCAGGAGCCGCCGCCACCGAACCCAGAGCGACCGAGCGAACTTCCTGTCCAGCAGTTTGTGGACAAAACTGACTTCTGATGATCTGTGGAGCAGGATCAAGACGGAAGCGGAGGATTATTACTACTATGCATTTAAAAGGTGCTTTTGTGTCTGTGTGGCAGAGCTTACGTTTAGCAGCAAGACTTTCCTTTACTGTCTTTTTCTCTCTGCACTCAGTGAAAGCATAGAAGAAGAAATAGAAAAGCACAACATTCAGAAGATTTCACTTTTGAGAGATGTGTATCAAGACAGGCATTCAGGTAGGAATCACTTTTTAACACATCCATATAAGTTGTTTTTATTTATATATATATATATATATATATATATATATATATATATATATATATATATATATATATATATATATATATATATTATATATATATATATATATATTTTGTGAAATAACTTTTTTTTTGACATCCTAAGAATCACACTTCATCCTAAGTTGGTGTTGTTGTCATGACAGGCCAAATGAAAGCTGTTCTTTGCTCTTAAGGTTAAAATTAACTTCTCAATCTGCTTGTTAAATAAAAGATAGGAGTATCTCTGAACCAGAGATTGAAATGAGTGTATCAGTGGTGTAATTTGTAGCTGCAGGCATTCAAGAATAGTAATTATGGAGAGCCATTTCCGCCAAAATTAAACAAATCAAGAAACAATAAGCACATGATTAATTGGCTTCTTTATTTAATCATTTTATTTATCATATGGTTACTTATTTTTGATTTGTTTGTTCAATTTTGACTGAAATTTCTCTCCATAAGAATGATTTCAGGGATTTTTGACAGTTTGTTTATAAATAAATTTCCTTAATTCACACATAAATAGGTGAGACAGACAAACTGTCTCCAGCTGCGATGTGAATAATTTAAGCGGCTGACCTCTTTCCTTCGTCTCTGCTCAGCTGCAGCTGAGAGAATACGTGTTTGAGTGTCGACACAAGCCAGCGTTCAGCGAGGACGACGTGGTGAACATGTTTCCTGTGGTCAAACATCTCAAACCAACGTCGACTGAAGCTGCTGAACTCGTACAGCAGGCACAGCTGGCAGCACAGCAGGGTGATTTATTTATTTATTTATTTCAAACAGGTTTTTAAAAACAAGAAAACAATCAACCAGTAGGACAGAGAAAACATGTGCATACATATCCAAGATCACAATAATTAGCTTATTGCTACTTTTTTGTTTGAAAAGGAGTACAAAGAAATGAACGCGTATTTAATCCCATCTTAATGAAGAATATTACTTACCCACTCAATAATTAAAAGTATGTTATAATATTCATGTGCCTGTTCAATATACTGGGCTAAAGAGTCAATAATGAATGGAAACAATTACATTACATTGAGAAAATGGTTACAAACGAACTCATAACAAGACAAGAACATCTACAAATAATAATAATAATAATAATGACATTTCTAAACAACAACCAGACATTCAGCATCAGAATAATCAGTAATTAAAATCTTGTCAATCTGTGCTATACAAGAATAAATTCATACAAAAACTGAGGAAAGACTAATGCTAATAATAGTGAGATGACAATAATAAGCTACTAATTATGGAAATAGTAATACAGAATAAGTTACATTAACAGTTGTATCTCAGTTGACCGCTGAGGGGAGAAACAAACTCAGAAAAAAGCAATTGGTGGGCCGCACAAAGTCAGTTCAAGGCCCACAGAAGGCCCAAGAGCCACACTTTGGACACCCCTCCTCTGACCTGTCTCAACGATGCTGTTTGTTCTGTAATATTCTCTAAAAAACCTCTTAGGTTTCCACTGAACAGGTGGATTTTTATTGGACTCTTTTTACTAATTAGATGACATCTAAAGCCAAACGGTTACGTCAGATATTATCGAGGAATATGAGATTTAATGCCATAATAATGTGCTAATTTGAGTCACACAAAATAAGAAGAATACTTTTCCAGAAGGGTTATAGGAGAAGTGGTTCATTAATTGCTGTTTTCTTCTCCTTTTTTCTTCCCAGGGTTTCTCAGAGCAGGTCTGGACTTGCTTGGTCGAGCCCTGACTCTTTTCAGCGGCGTTTGTGGGAACCTGCATCAGGACGTTTCCATGTGTCTGCGTCTCCTTGGGCAGCTCAGATACACCTTAGGAGAAAATGATGACGTACATATCAATTGAAGCTATTTTCTTCCGTGATGTACCGCTTTTATTTCATCTAACTCAACACGTCAGCCTCTGTTTAGGCTTTAAAGTTTTCTTTTCGATGTCTTCCTGTGAAGTAATGTTGTCATTTTGTCCATGCCAGGCTCTCATTCTTCAGGAAAAAGCTGTTTTGATTTCTGAGAGAATACGAGGGTCAGATCATCCGCAGACCATACAGGACTATGTGTGTTACTTTACCTCTTCACCAGTCCAACCACTTTATTGTCTACTATGAGGTTTTATATCTAGATTATCAACAATTTGCAAGTGTTTTTTCCTTCCTGTGATTTAGACTCACCTGGCGCTGTATTTCTTTGCCGGAGGCCGCCTGTCAACTTCCCTTCAGCTCCTGTGTCGCGCTCGATACCTCACCCTGCTCGTTATCGGAGAAGACCATCCACAAATTGCACTTCTAGATGTAAGTCCAGTTTTATCTGCTTTAACATACTTAAAAAATCTCTTCATGTAACATATTGTTAGTTGTTTTTTAATGGGGAATGAAAATTACATAATTTTCTCTGTTCACTACAATAACACAGAAGTATTATTTTGTCTAGTTTCGAGTAGAAAATTGTCAAACAAAACTGTTGTACTTATGTTTTCTTCAAACGGTGTTGTCTGCAGCTCACTTGTTTTGTAATTGAAGTATTTCTGTTATTTTGGGGTTTTATCTGACAGAGTATGCTGGGTTTAGTCCTCCATGCCCTGATGGAAAATGAGCTTTCCCTGAAGTTCCTGGAGAACGCCTTGACTTTGACCTCTAAATATCACGGTGCAAAATCACTGAAGCATGCACACAGGTATACATGTCATGTTAGTTATTTTCCTTCCAGCTCGTCTGAATTAATTTACATTTCTTTCTGGATTTTTTTAGTCACCATGTACTTACCATTGTGTATGAAAGCAGAGGGGAGTTTCATTTAGCTCTGCATCACGAAAAAGAGGCTTATATTATATATAAAAACCAGGTGAGCCTTTAAAAAATCCTTTTTAACTATTTTGCTCTGGATTGTCAAGGCGCTTTTATATTTGTTGCAAACTTACAGCTTGGTGAGAGCAGTGACAGCACAAAGGAAAGCTCAGAATACCTGCAGAGGCTCACGAATCAGGGTGTGATCCTCCAGGGAGCCGTCCGCCACGTTGCCTCTGGCAAACCCAATCCCTCTGTCTCTCCTCCGAGGGTTTGTTCACTTTTAAGACAGCAAATAAACTCAGCAAGGCTCAGTTTGGTGCTGAACCTGTTCTGTTTTTCTGGCAGTTGCCAATTCATCCTGTGGTTCTGCAGCAGCTCAACCTGACTTGTGGAATTACTCCAAGTCAACCCAGGTGAAAAAGATGAGGGCAAGGCATCTTGATTAAAAAAATCAAGAAGAAAATTGCTCATTTAATTTAACGTAGATAAGGATTTCATCTTTGATCCTGTCTTTACTGTTTCTTTCTTTCTTTATTTCTTTCTAGTGAAAAAGAGCTGAGAGCAGAACTGAACGAAAGAGGAAAAGTTCAAATTGACGACATGGAATATCAATTATTAAACTGAAACGGCAACAAGCAGCAGCTCTGAACTGTGGACCAAAAAGAAAACCACTGCAGCCCACCTGCCTGTTCTGGGGAAGTGGCTCAGCGAGAAACTGGGTTACCCAGATTCATTTGAGTCCTTTAGAAACTACAGCAGCTGCTGGACTGCACAGATGAGTGAAAGACTACTTTAAAATGGTCTTTAATGCAATGGTATAATCTGACAGTGAAAAATTACAGAAAAAGCCTTTAATCTGTGTGTGTAATTTAGTGGAAAACAAAATGATAAATATTTACATATATATATTTTTGAATCACAAGTGCAAAAATCAGTATGCATGCCTTACAACTTCTGAAAAATAAATGCAACAGGATGTTTTTAATGTGTTAATTTTTTTTAGCTAAATATAGTATTGAGAAACTTTTAGTTTTTATTTAATGGTATCTTGTGTCCTTGAGGAATGAAGTGCACAATCACACTTTAAACAAGGCAGAATTGTGTTTATCCTAATATATTAGAAAATCCCTCTCTGTAATAAAAATGTCTCTAGTTTACGGTAAATCACCAGCAGCAGAATGTTACTGTATTTGCCTGATAAGTCTGTGTAAATAAGATAAATGTGTATAAATATGGCAAAATTCTGGCAACCACATCTGCAGGTATTTTACCATAAATTAGATATGTTTTTTTCAGTGCTGAAAAAAATATACTTGCCTAAACTTGCTTTAATGGACAGACAGGAAACAAGTTTGTTTTGCATCCTTCAAAGTTAAAGATTGCCTTTTTACTGATGTAATGCAGACTAGTGATGTAATGCAATTCAACTTTTTGAAGTTGAATTGCAAAAAAAAAATACTTCCTTGCTCTAGAAAGACAATGTTATATTTTAAATAAAGCAACGTGAATGGAAAAGTACAACTTATTTCACTGGATCTCATAAACCATGTGTCAAACTTGAGGCTCGCGGGCCAAATGTGGCCCGTCAGAAATTCTTTTGTGGCCCTTAGGACTCTACAAACAGAACCGTCAGGATTACAGCTGTGTGCTTAAATATTACTTTATCAATCAAATTGGAAGTTTTATCTGTATTGTGCTAAATTATATATAAGTGAAAAGATGTTTAATAATGTTTAATCTCAAAAGGTTCCCTCCATATTTTAACAGTTTGTTAACAGGTAGCTTTATCAATACTTTCTGCCACAGCCGACCTTCTAATGATATTATTTATCTTGATGTGGCCCAAAATAAACAGGAGTTTGACAGTCCTGTAATAAAGCAACAGTGTGTTTGGTGCAACTAGAATGTTTTTAAGGATCTTTCAGCTGGAAATCCAAACATATCAAAGACAAAATAAAATTCAGAATAATACACAAACCTTAACACAAACAGCAGGTATGCTAACCAAAGACTAAGCATGTGTGAACAGGTGAGTGTCATTCAGTTAACACCCCAGGTGTGACAGAGAAAGAGGAAACAGAACAACTTCTGCAAAAGAAAGCATGAAGTAAAACTGCCCACAATACAAATGATAGGAAATCAAATAGGATGAACAATAACTGACTAACCTGAAAGCATAATGTTTTAATAATGGATGTTATCTACAGTGCTGTGAAAAAGTATCTTCCCCTTACAGATTGTTTCTCTCCAAATCAATGAGCTTTAAGTCCAGGTTTGATTTAGTCGCATTTTCTCTGGCATCTTATTTAAAAGACTTTAAACTCCGACGTGAACCTTTGGCAGTTTTTCAACCTGAACCTTTTTAGTTCAATTCTGGTCACTGGCCTATGAAGCAAACTAAACAGAACTAAAGTCTACACTAACTAATGAACTATAAAACGTCTCAACCTGAGCCATAAAGTGATTTAAGAGCGTTTAAAGTTCATGACAGGTCTTGTATTTTCAGTTTCTGTATCATGACCTTGCAATCTCTAATGTCTCCACTAGGTTACACACTCGTTCCACGGTCACTTCCCTGTACTGAGATTATTTTGTTTTTCTTTTGATAACCTGAATATTTTTAATGCACCAGTAACCCACTAGCATTTAATTAGTGCTAGTGGTTGTCATGGTGACTGATTGAATTTCTCAACATTATTATTATTTTTTAATCTTGATCATTTCTCTAAATAACATCAATTTGGTATTATTTAATCCTTATTAAGTCCCATGTTTTTTTTTTTTCCCCACTTTCACAGTTTCATTCAGGTCATTGAAAACTTTTGTTCAACTTCACCGTTTTCTGTTTGAGTTTCAGATTTATTTGCTATTTTCTCCAGATATTTTTAGGAGAAAAGTGTAAGTCTGCACTCTGGACAGAGATAATGTCTTTACATGAACAGGATCAGAGCCTGGGAGTGAGAGCAATAAAATGTGGGATTTTGTTTCTTCTGGCTAGATTTTTATTATTATTGTAAATTAAAAGCCATATTAATGATTTGCTTTAAAACATGCAATGTTTTCCTTCTTTCTTTGAAGAAATTAAAAAATAAATCTTTACTGAATCATTTACAAAACCAACAACTGGAGTGCATATACTTTAACTTTAATATATGTTTAAGTAACCCTTTATTACAGCTGTTATCTAATAACCCTACTTTATCTTTTTCGTTGAATCGTTTGTCTCTTATCATAGCTGCAGTTGTTCACCTTAAGCCCAGATCTCACCACTATACATTTCTGTCCAGTGTTACTGTGGAATAGGTTTTAGACACTAGCTCTTATTATTTTATTCCCACTAAAATAAGCAAATAAGTATAAACACAGAATAATGACACTTAAACCTAATTGGTTCACAGTGATCAATTAATGTTCTTCTAACATAAAATATGTTCTTTTAAAATTTGGAATAAAATATATGAAACATCAGGATGTTTTTTTTTTTGTTTTGTTTTTTTAATGATCCCATTGTTAAATAACTACAGTAAGTCCTCACTATAAATAACAAATGCAATGTTAATATATTTACTCCTTAATTTCTAGTTTTATCGTTTAGATATTTAACTTTAATTTATTTATTTAGGAAAAAGCACAAAATGCTTATTTTATGCCCATCTCATACATACTACTTGTATTTTTTGTGTGTCATGTATTATATTTTTTCAATTTAAATAAAAACAAGTAAATTCAGTCACAAATAACTTGATTTCTATTATAGATAAGAAATCAAATAGAAAACACACACACAAAAAATAGAATTTATATTTGACAAACTTTTTTAATTGTCTTATTCATATAAATTTCTACTTAACTTGCAAAGTTGTCTAAAAAACTCTTTACAAAATTGTATTTCCCCCCATCATGTCATGTATGAATAGATTACAATAAAATTATAAAATTAAAAAAACAATCTAATAAAATCCGCCCACTAGACTTTTTAATTAGTTTATTTGTTTTTTTACAAAATTTTATTTCATTTGTTGTTTTTTTTTTTTAAGTTTTAATTAATACCTTTTTTTATGTTCCTCAATGAAAACAATATTCTAAAGAAAACAAATAGCCATATAAACTGGTGACGTATGTTCCTTCAAAACCATGAACGTAATGTGTGCCGTAATTTTTTTAATTCTCCAACGTCATTCTGGAATATTATACCTTTCCATATTTTCTCTAAATTCGGAGGTCTAAATTTCTTTTTAACTTGTAACTTTGATATTACGAAGCTACCAATTAAACTCTAACTTTCATCGGCAGGCCCTTATATCATGGTTACTCATCTACAAACATAACCTCTCTCCTCACCAGTACTTTATTTGGAATAATAAGGACATTTTATATAAGAAGAAAACTATATTTTTTGATTCCTGGTTTAATCGTAACGTTGTTCTGGTTGACCAGTTGTTTAACAGTGATGGTCTATTGTTGACTTATGAAGAATTTCTTTGTAAATTCAATTTTCCTGTCTTTCCTGGAGAATATGCAAAAGTTTTTGGTGCCATTTCTACAAAGATCTGTATGCTATTCAGGCAGAAGCCGAGAGTCGATTTTCAGTCTTCTTTTCTATCTCCTATACGTTCTCCTGTTGGCAAAATATGTCTGAATCCTTTTCCTCGTAACAATAATAAGTCGATCAGATCCCCGTTTCTGAAGGACGTGACCTCTGTTCCTGTGGTTGTCCATTATTGGAATCGCTTTTGTTTTACTCTGTCTTGGAAATTTATCTGGCTGCTCCCTAATCACTTTCTTCTCACTAACAAGGTGAAAGAAGTTTTCTTTTAAACTCATTCACCGAATATACCCTGTTAATGTTTATCTAAAGAATTCAATTCTAACATTGATGTGAATTGTTCCTTCTGTGACGTTTGCCCAGAGTCGCTCACTCATTTGTTCTGGTTGTGTCCTCATTCTAAAGTCTTTTGGCAACATCTTTGTAACTTTATTGATTACAAAATATCAACAGGCTTTCAGTTATATTGGGAAAACGTCTTATTTGGACTTCAACAAAATGGAGGAATGAATGTGAAAAGTTTCCTTATCAATTTAATAATTATTAAGGCTAAATTTCATCTACATAAATGCAAATTTTTGAAGAAAAAACCAAACTTTTCTGTTTTTTTAATTGAACTTAAACATTATTTATTAACAATTCAATCCTCAACCAACCAAAGAGCGGAGTCAACAATATGGGCTTGCAATCAACTTGGACTTTTGGATTACCTCTTATGTGAAGGCCGAGAGGCTCAATTTTTTCTGTATACAAAATAACCTGCAGGATTGTGGACAGAGGCGCAACAAACTGATAAAAAGGGATACAATAATTTATTTTAAAAACAACTAGTTAAAAAGGAACATTTGCTGAAGAAGGATCATTATACAAGTCCATAAAAAGTCTTAACTGGCCCACAACAGGGGGAAAAGGAAGGGGCGCGGTCCGCTGCTGCTCACACGTCCAGCCCGGTCCAAACAATCCTCCAGTCACACGAACCTCAGTGAGCGCTAGCCAACGGCTCCGTTCAGGGGAACACGGTCCTTACTGCTTCTGTACGTCCAGCTTGATCTCCGGTTCTCAGCCCAGCATCCCACTTCCTTAGCCGGCCGCCCGCTCCTCTGCCGCGACCAGATTAGCAGTCCTCAGGGGCGGTCCCTCCTTTAGCCAACGCCTGAAGCCAGTCCGAGCCGTCCTGCCGCTCCTTCACGCCGTCACAGTCCCAATGGCCTTTTTACTCCTCCTGATCTGTAAACAACTTGATGAAGATGCGGATCAGCTGTGTTGCTGCCGTGGGGCGCATGCGGCACGTGACCAACAACCAATCAAAACATGCAAAAACAACATTTAATCCAAAATAAACTAAGAAAATAACTTCAAAATATACAATCCAAAACAATATCAAAATCTAACTCAAAAGGAAAAACAAGGTCACCTTGCCACATAAGCGCTAAAATTGTGGGTTTTATTTCGCAAATTAATTGAAATAAACACTGATTTTTTTCACGTTTACTGAGCCATATTTGTCGAACGTTCTTCAGTGTCTGATGAACAAGTTCTCCGCAGCTGCTTTGAAATTCCAAGATTTTTCTTTTAACACCATAATAGCTTAAAACTTTACAAAACCGAGGCCCAATCCCAATTACGTAGAACATTTTATATTACGCTTAGCTGTCTAGTGTATTAATGTAGGGGATGCATTTTAATTCCTGAGCCTGCTAATATTTGCATCCCCTGTCTATTGTCCTGTTCATCTGAAACTTATAGTGGTAACTCAGGGAACAAGTGTCATTATGTAGAAAAAATGTAATTTCCAAGTTAGCAGGGGATGCAATTTTTGGCAAATGGATTTCTAGCTTGCCAAAATTTGCATCCCCCCTGTTTTCATGAAATATGATCCAATTCAGGTGAAACTCATACCAGCAGTTCTTACAACTACTCTGGTCATGTAGGACAAGTTATTTCACTCTTAACTCTTTATTTCTCAGAGTTAGCAGGGGGTGCAACTTTTGGCAATATGGATTTCTAGCTTGCCAAAATTTGCATCCCCCCCCTGTTTTCATGAAATATTTTCGAAATGATATTAAATTAATTCCAGTAGTTCATAGAACTACTCTGGTCATGTAGAAAAGGTTATTTCACTCTTAACTCGTTATTTATCCAAGTTAGCAGGGGATGCAATTTTTGGCAATATGGATTTTCAGCTTGCCAAAAATTGCATCCCCTCTATTTTTATCAAATATGATCCAATTGAGGTGAAACTCATACCAGTAGTTCATAGAACTACTCTGGTTATGTAGAAAAGTTGTTTCACTCTTAACTCATTATTTTTCAGAGTTAGCAGGGGATGCAATTTTTGGCAATATGGATTTTCAGCTTGCCAAAATTGCATCCCCCCTGTTTTCATCAAATATGATCCAATTGTGATGAAACTCATACCGGCAGTTCTTAGAGCTTCTCTGGTGATGTAGAAAAAGTTATTTCACTCTCAACTCTGTGTTTCTCCAAGTTAACAGGGGGATGCATTTTCCGGCAATGTGGAATTTCAGGTTGCCAAAATCTGCATCCCCGCTATTGTCAAATATTATTGAATGCATCTGAGAAGGTGCTCAAAATGAAAATTGTCAGAAAATGCATGTCCTGCAATTTGGAGAATTAGGATAGTAATGTGTTATATGAAATGTTGTAGACAATGACACGTATGCTCTGAGCTACTAGAGTGACTTTCAAATCTGTACGACACTTTTGAGCTGAAAAAAGGGCATGCAATATCGGCAGCTCATAATTTGCTATGCCAAAAAATGCATCCCCCCAAGCTTAAAAAAACAAACAGTTATGAGTGAAATAGCTTTTTCTATATAATCACATTTGTTTCCTCAATTGCTGGTATGAGTTTCATATCAATAGGATAACATTTGAGGAAAAAAGAGAGGGAAAGCATATTTTGGCAGGTTGATAATAGGCTGTGCCATAAAACGCATCCCCCTGCTAACGTGTACAAATAAAAAATTAAGAGTGCAATAACATCTTCTGCATAAGAAGAATAGTTGTATGAGCTTCTGCTATGAGTTCCATGTTATTAGCATAACATTTGAGAAAAATAGAAAGGACATGCAAATTTTGGCAGGAGCAAAATCCATATTGCCGGAAAATGCATCCCCCTGCTAACTTGGAGAAACACAAAGTTGAGAGTGAAATAACTTTTTCTACATCACCAGAGTAGCTCTAAGAACTGCTGGTATGAGTTTAATCTCAAATGGATCATATTTGATGAAAACAGGGGGGATGCAATTTTTGGCAAGCTGAAAATCCATATTGCCAAAAATTGCATCCCCTGCTAACTCTGAGAAATAAAGAGTTAAGAGTGAAATAACTTTTCTACATAACCAGAGTAGTTCTTTGAACTACTGGTATTAGTTTAATATCATTTCGAAAATATTTCATGAAAACAGGGGGGATGCAAATTTTGGCAAGCTGAAAATCCATATTGCCAAAAGTTGCATCCCCTGCTAACTTGGATAAATAAAGAGTTAAGAGTGAAATAACCTTTTCTACATGACCAGAGTA